ATGAAAAATACCCAATCGTCGAGAAAAGTTTCTATAGAAATGTTATAGAATAGTGTAGTAAAACCCAATTTAAGTCTATATTTATTCTAACAAATAAAATACACAAAAATTATATCAACTTGAACGGAGTAATAGATGTTATTATTTAAAAAAGAAGAGAGAAAGGAAGTGAAGAATTACAGAACCATCACTTTAATCAATGTTATGTAGAAACAATGAAGATGATTCAAAGATACTAACAAATAGATAAGCATCTAAGTTAGACAACGCTGATGATTTCAAGAAGCACACTGGACTAACATGGAGGCTGATCGCCAACAATACAGACGCATGTAGGAATGAAGGAAAAACTTATATCCAGAGATTGACGTTAGGAGCGGATTGAAAAAGATAGATTTTATAAATGTATTGCTGAGTTAACAATATTTATTCGTATGACAAAACAGAACCTCTTTATTCATCATGACCCTGTTATCGTATTGGAGAAAAACATGCCAATGCTCTAATGGGGAACGCTTGTACAGGGTGCTGAAATTTGTTTTAACAGGGAAAACCGAGGGGAAAACATACTTCCGGCCCGGGGAAAATTGATTTAGAAGTCATGGGATCGATTTCCGAGAAACGTCGATTGTCAAAAACTGTATCACGATATCTTCAATGGTACCATTGATACAGGGCGATGTTCGATTTTTCCCTATTCTGAAAAATAGCTATAAGTTTTTCATTCATCAATTTTTTTTTAATTTCTCTAGAAACATTTATCTACAAGCGTTTGGTTATGACGTTTTTACATAACGATTTTTCTAGTATTTGAGTTATGTTATGCATGAGACTCATAACAGAACAGTGGTGTTATGGACTAGGTTATGAATTCATAACGCAACTAGTAGTGTTATGGACTAGGTTATGAATTCATAATACAACTATTTTTGGTAATTTGACAAATGTCAAAGTTAAACCCGTAAAGGTAAAATGAAGGTAGACGCAACGACTAATAAACGAAAATAATTGAAAACACATTCTTATTTTTTGCTTTGTAGACAAAACGTTGTACATCACACGTGCGTTCAAACATGACTACAAAACTCGTGTGATTAGAACGACTCGTTCGACCTCATCGTTCTAATCTTTCACACTCGTTATTGTTATCATGTTCATAAACGCACTTGTAATGTAAATCACTATTATCTACAAGCATTTGGTTGTGACGTTTGTACATAGCCATTTTTCTAGTATTTGAGTTATGTCATGAGATTTATAACAGAACAGAACGACTAATAGACGAAAATAAATGGAAAAACATTCTCATTTTTCGCTTTGTAGATAAAATGTTGTACATCACACGTGCGTTTGAACATAATTACAAAACTCGTGTAATTAGAACGACTCGGTCTACGACTTCGTCGTTCTAATCTTTCGCACTCGTTATTGTAATAATGTTCATAAACGAACTTGTAATGTAAATAACTATTATCTACGACCTACACAATAAGTGACTATTATATCACTAATTTTTGTTCATTTGCGTTATGTAATGAGCCCTATTACCGCACTAGTGCGGTAATGAATCATAACGCGTTCGTTATCGCACTAGTGCGCAAGAGGTCATTATTTTTAATATAATTACACAATCGAGTACATAATAGTTATTTATAATAGACAAACGACACTAGTCAGTTATTGTGCAGGTCCTAGATAAAATGTTGTATATCACACGTACGGTAAGGCTCATTACAAAACTCGTGTGGTTACCACGACTCGGTCTACGACCTCGTCGTAACAATATTCCTCACTCGTTACTGTAAAGAAGCTCATACCGCACTATCAATATAAATAACTATCAGGGGATACTTTTTTGCGCAGAATCTAGTGGCGTACGCAGTTTTTTTCTATTCCGCTCTGATTTGAAGATATTGACGAAGATCCGATTTTTTTTTAATAAGAAACCCTACATATCAATAACTTATTGGAAAGCTCTGCTTTTGTTGATTTCAATGATATAAAGTTCGATAGATTTATTCCTAACAGTTTTCGAGAAAAAATAGTACATTAAAATACATGTTTGGGTTAGACGTCATTTTATCTCACGAGCCCTATATTAGAAAACGAGCCGGAGGCGAGTTTTCTAAAGGGCGAGTGCGATAAAATGTCTTATGAAACGAATATTTTATTCTATTTTTTCTATTTTGGTATTGATAATTAAAAAAAAAAACAAATTTTTCTTGGAAATTTTATTTTCATATTTCCTAATTTCATTTGTTTAGGTTGGTAACACTACATGCCAAATATAGAAATTTTCTATTTTAAAATCGCGTTGACAGTTCGATGGCCATGAGTCAGCCAGTGTTACCAACCTCCGATAAGTAAAAAAGGAGTGTCACAAAGAGCTTCTTTTCGAAACTACTTTTAGTGTCGAAAAGACTTCGATATGACACCAAAATAGAAAAAATTATATCTGTTTTTGTCATAAGGAACAATGTGTTAGGAAGGGACTTTATATCTGTAAGGAAAATGAAGAAGGTCTCTTTCTAATACATTGTTTCTTATGACTGTAACAGATTTTTTTTTTTTTCTCGAAGACTGTTAGAGATAAACCTATCGAACTTTATCCCATTGAAATCAGCAATAGCACAGCTATCCATTGAGTTATGATTATACAGGGCACCCACGTTATCTGCGTTAAGAGGCATGTTGGTGAAAATCGGGGGAAAAGTTTTTAACGTTAAACTGGACTTCCTTCCTTCAACCCCCTAACCCTAAGGGCTACCACCCCAAAATTTTCAAATGAAACAGGGAGTGGAGTGATAGATCATTTTAAAAGGCTGCTTAATCTGTACATTTTGCTGTCCTATTTTCTGAATAAGCTCAGTGTTGCAGAATACCACCCATTTCAATGTTTAAAAATGCCCATTTATCTTTAAACACACCTGCTTTTTTAACTACCTTTTCATTACAGCAACAGGTAAACAAGCAGGTGTGTTTAGGGATAAATAGGCATTTTTAAACATCGAAATGGGTGTTATTCTGCAACAGTGAGGTCAAATTTAAAAATAAGACGGCAAAATGTACAGATTAAACAGCCATTTGAAATGATCTATCATTCGATTCGCTGACTCATTTGAAAATTTTGGGGTGGTAGCCCTAGGGCTTAGGGGGTTGAAGGGGCGGAGTCCAGTTTTACGTAAAAAACCTTGCCTCTCAATAAATTTGTTAACTTGTTTCGGCGATTCCCAGAAATCTGTCTGTTTACGCTGATAACGTAGGCAAGTTTTGAAATTAAAGCCCTGTATAGGGTGTCTTATTTAAGAAAATCGGACTTTGGTCATTATCTCAAAATGGGAACGAAATAGAAAAAAACTTAGTAAGCCATTGGATTGTGTTCAAAAAAGTATCTTCAAAATGTTTTAACAGAAATTAAGAAAAAAATAATTATAAACAAAACACTATTTTTCCGAATAGATGAAAATCGAAAATCGCCCTGTATCAATGGTACCATTGAAAATATCGCGATACGGTCTCGAAGTACGTTTTACCTTTTGAAACACTCCAAATTGCAGCATCCTGTACATCAAAAAAATTATTTGTGTATTTCACAGCAGGTAAATACTTAAAATTTAGAATCCACTTGACCCATATTGAAAGAAAAACTGAACTTGGCTCATTTTCTGAAATTAGTATGGCTTTAGCTAAACCTAAACATTACAACTTTTCGCTCGCAAGAAGAAGTAATAGGATAAAAATTAGGACAAGCTGATAAACCAATAAAACAGGGGAACCACAGCTCAGCTAGCATTTCAATGTACCATGAAGCATGACAGAACCTTTACGGAAAAAGCCAGTGGCCTAGCAGGGAGAATAGCTAATTAAAGGTAAACGATAAGTCTGGACTCGGATTTTAAACTGGGAACTCTAGATTACCAGTCTAACGCTCTACCAACCGAACTACCGGGGACTCAGTTTCATTTCTACTCAATCGGTCAAATGTGTCGTCAGATTTCAACGTTTTAATCAACGACTTCAGTGATACAATCGGCGCTCTCCGGCAGTTACTGAAGGTCGGAGTGGTTAGTGTGAGGAGTTCCGTTCAGTCACATAAACCCTTCACTAACCACTCCACTGCCAAAGAGTGACGATTGCATCACTAACGCGTTAAAAGTTGACGAAGCATTTGACCCTTTGGATAGAAATGAACCTAAGGTTCGGTACCTAGTTCAATTAGTAGAGCGTCAGCATTATTGTATTCTGTTAGTATTAAGTATGTCCGATAAAAAAATTTAAATTTATTTCATGAAAAAAGCACGCATAGCTATTTTCTGATTTCACCTTATTTGCAAATGTTCGAATGATATTGTTGTGTGCCTTTTCAAAATCATTCAGATTAATCGCCCCCTTGTGATTGATTGAATATTTTAGTCGTGTTAACCGTGAACTAAATTTGAGAAAAAAAATTTCATAACTAGAAAAAAGAAACGTTCTTAATACAGACACAACTTCCAGCGCAAGTGAATGGCATCACACTTGTTAAGAAACTATTTTATTGAACGCCTATTCAAAAATTTGCACAGTCGAATCTTACGATTTCAAAAATTGATACGGTCTTTTAGAAGAAATGTGTGTCATATATGCAAAAGTTTCTAATTTTGAAGAAGACACAAAAATTATTTTTAGCTAAATTGTAAAATTATAATACCATTCAAAAGTAGAAGGGACATAAATTACATAAAAAGCGTTGAAATCCCCAGCTCCCCAAATCCCAACGCAATAGAGCCGAAAAGCTTTTTGAGAAATTGCCAGTAAATATTTTATTTTTGGACGGTCCCATATCAAAATAGAACATCAACCACCAAAATAAAAGCCAGAACGAAATTGGCCTAGTTTTATTATCTAAAGCCGAAAATAGATGATTGGGGTTGGTAGATCAAAACATAAACAATGTCAGCATTGTTATCGTTTGGTGGAAATAATTTCGTTTGTATAATACATACTACATCTTTTCTTACCTGTATTCTATCAGCTACTTCAGTTACTAATTTCATACATTTATCTACCAATCGACTAAATTCTGACATGGTCCTTAGCTGCTCTTCATTTCTTGTCCGTAATAGCTTCAGGGGAGCAGCTAAAGGTAACGCTGTCACGCTATGAGAATCCTTTTGAAGAGGAAGGGCGAAAATATGCTCTTCTTCAAATAGAGATAATAACCTAAAAAAATAAATTATTTTCATGAGTCGTCAGTAAAGTGTGACGGTCTTATGGTTACTCACCTAAGTTCTGGCACAAAATGACTGGGACTTTTGAGTCCTCGAGGCGCAGTTCCGTGCACGAGTCGCACAGTGAGCGGCAGCCTCTTGCTAAGTAAATTACGTGCCGTATGCACTCCACTGATGTTGTCTTCGCGAGCTAACGCAGAAAATTTACCGCGTTGCTCGAGACCCAGCAGGATTGTGTCGCCGCGCGTGTCCACGCACTTTAGGTAGCGTCCTGAAATAGAAGAAAAACGTCAGGTGGCAAGTAGAACTTTAAAACATTGTAATGGTAGTTTATGTGTAATGTAAATTTATAATTTTATTGGTAATAAGATATCGATCTATGGAAGACGTGAATGCAGAGGATCTGTTGTGTTTGTTTATAGGTTAAATTGATGAGATTTGTACTATTAGGTATTGCACTGCACTCCTCAACGAGATGGCATTACTAGTACTTGGGAGAAGAGTTTAGGTTATGATGATTAAACAAGATTTATGATTAGAAACAGTTGAGAAATATTGAATATTGCTCAGATTATTTAAAAATGAATAGGAGTTCAACAGTCTTTTGATTATCCAAACAAACCTCAACAACAACAGGTGAGATTCTCAAAAATAAAAAAAATTAAAAATCACCTTTGTATTGGAAAATGGAATTGAATTATGTTGGAAGAAATGTCACGATCTCTGTGAAGAATCATGTTGACGTTGCATTACTCTATGCATCAAATTATCACAAATGGAAATTAGTATTTTGTTTGTTGAAGGCATGAGAATTTATGGATAGAAGTTATGTCAAGAAAAACGGATTCGATTGGAAGGACGGAGCCACCTAAAAAAATTCTAGACTAAAAAAAACAAAATGAGTTTTTACCAAGAAACCATTGGAAAAATTTAAAGAAACTTTTTTGCTCTATTCGTAGTTTGATTACGCACTTGCGTTCATTACCTCATTCTTTCTTACTGACCAAAGTATCTGAGTTTTAATTTTTTTTATAAAGCCATACATAACTATTTATATTCATATAAAATTTTTTTAGTTTTATGCAGACTTTAGACTCTCCACCCTGTTTTTTCCTTTTTGGGTATTTCTGTTTCTAGGTTATTGGACACATGTCCGATAAATGAATTACAAACATAATTAGTGAAGATTGGACCTTTGAAATAAATTTGTCCTTTGTGTATATAAGCATAAACTAAATATTGCGTCACACACATATGTTCTTGTTAGCGATAAATACATCAATTAAAGTTAAGTTAAGTAGGGTAGGCGTTCGCTGTTGAGTGCAAGTCCTTTGTTGCAGCTAATAATTTCCAAATAGTGTGTCATGCCGTCTATTGGTATTTGACTTAATCGGCCGACTGCATGACAAACTGCAATTTATGTTACTAAAATGTTGATAATATTACCGACTTAATGAATTAGTTGTTAATAGATAAATATTACCCGGTAAAATTTAATGCTTTCGGAATTCGAGCGAAAAGGAATGAATAAATCGCGAGGCATGAAATTTGGCCAGGTGTTTTGAACAGGCATAAATTCTTCAAATTATATTACTAAGTTGTTCAATGTAGGTATATTTATTCAATAGTCTAATGCTATAAACGAAATACCAATACCAAAATCTTACCACATATACAGTGTGTCCCGCTTAAGGATTGACCACCTTTCTAACATTTTTATTTTTCAACCGATATTTTTTTTTTGTTTTGTAGCTACTCGAATTTGTCACTTATTAGGCTTATAATTTTATTTCTACGGCTGCACTTATATATATATATATATATATGTATATGTATGTATGTATATATATATATATATATATATATATATATATATATATATATATATATACATCCTCAAACATTATTGCGTCCGTACAAAATCATACATTGTTGCGTCTCCAGGAAAACGAAGAGATATCTAGGATCTTAAGGCGTATACTGGTTCACCAATGAATTTGATAGATGGGGCTATATGTAGATTTTTTGTATCTTCAAATTTAAGATATACACATTTTCATATATTTTTAAACCACTGTTGCGTCCTCATAAAAAGCAACCTTGTCAGCTCCATATATTGGTTGCACCATACAATGTTGCTTCCGTGCGATGTTGTCAAACTGACAGGACGCAATAAAATTACGAAACTATGACAAAGGTAAATTGAATATCGGCTTATCGGCGTTTTCTTGGTAAAAAGTTATGAGCTGATTTGGACAACTTCAAAAACGCAACATAAAATACACAATAATAATTTCTCCCGCAATTCAAATGCGTGTGAGTAAGTCGCAATTTTTGCCGGTATACCATCGCATACATTGCCACTTACTGATACGAATTTGATTTGCACTTTTCAAATAAAGCCCCCCTGATACTAATTCTTTTTCTTACTCCCCCCCACCTCACGAAAATTGACTTTTCTGTTCTAAATAGGCGAGCGAAAGCGGAAGTGGAACATGCCAGATCATCGGTTGATAGGTACGAAAAACTTTTGCGCCCTGGATCTGGGTGCTACGTTGGACTCACAAATAATTTTATTGGAGATAAACCAGAAAAATTTCCGTTGGAAAGACTCTAGTAAGAATAAATGGTGACATTAGGATAAGAATTGCCAATATTTCTTCTTAAACAGTAAAAATAAAAAAGGAGATATTATTGGAACTCTCGAACCAGTTAAGCAAATTTCGAACTGTGACCTACCAGATAAATGACATTTTGTGAAACCGAAATTGGATACAGACAAATTGATGCAGACTTTGAAGATATCATGGAAACACCTCGATCCAGATAGACTTAGAGAAGCAGACGAATCTGTGATTGATAATCGAACCGGACCGACCAGTTTAATCCAACACAAAATTGATACTGGATTGGCATACCCAATTAGACAACCACCTTGACGTATGCCAGTAGCTAAACAACAGGAAGTGGAGAACCAAATTGATAAAATGCTTCAAGAGGGAATTATTGAAGAGTCGAATATTCCATGATCTGCGCCAGTAGTATTGGTTACAAAAAAAGATGGAAGTCTTAGATTTCGTGTGGACTACCGTAAGCCTTATGAGGTCACCAAGAAGGAGAGCTTCCCTCTCCCGAGAATAGATGATACATTAACAACTCTATCGGGCTCCAAATGGTTTTCCACCTTGGATCTCAGGAGTGGATACTGACAAGTGGCAATATACAAAGATGACAAGGAGAAAACTGCCTTCAGTATCGGAAGCGGGTTATACCAGTTAATCGTGATGTCTTTCGGATTGTGTAATGCTCCAGCTAGGTTTGAGCGACTGATGCATCTTGTTTTGCGAGGCCTCACATAAAAAACTTGGCTGGTATATTTATATAATGTCATGATCATGGGAAATTCATTCCAAGAATATCTCAATAACCTGAATCAAGTGTTTGATCGCTTCCAGAATGCCAACTTAAAACTCAATCCAAACAAGTGTTTTCTATTTCAAAAGAAAGTGGAACTCTCAGGTCACGTGGTATCTGAAGATGGCATATGAGTTATGAAAGGAGAAATAGATGCTGTCAGGGATGGGCCAAAACCACGCGACAAACATGAACTGAGGAGTTTTCTAGGATTGTGTTCTTATTATCGAAGATTTGTAGAAGGATTCGCTAATATAGCTGCTCCGCTTCATCGATTAACGAAAGAAAAATCAACATTCAATTGAACCCAAGAATACGATTCCGCATTGAGAAAATTGAAACGAGCATTATGGACAAGTCCAGTGTCGTCCTATCCCGATCAGGACATGTTGATTTTGCACTCAGATGCAAGCAACAACTATTAGAGCTGATTTTTCACAAATCTAAAATTCACAAAAGCATGTCGTAGAGTACTACAGCAGAATTTTATTAAAGCCGGAACGAAATTATTGTGCCACAAGAAGAGAATTGCTTGCCATAGTAAAAGCAGGGGACCATTTCCATGAGTATCTCTACGGAAGACGGAAGTAATTTTGTGATTCGAAGGGATCACGCAGCTCTAAAATGGCTTTTGGGAATGAAATACCATATAATTTGCAAAAATACGTATCAACACACTCGGATATTTATCCTTTTGAATGTGACACTTTTTATGACAACAATTGAATGAAGCCGCGTATAATAGCTGGGTTCGGTAATTGCATCTGCGAGCGAAGTGAGCAAACTTTGACAGATGTCACGTGATTTGACACGTGAAAAGAAGATAAGTGATCAGGTGACGTCTGTCAAAATTTGCTTATTTCGCTCGCAGATGCAATTACCGAACCCAGTTATTATACACGGCTTCATTCAATTGTTTTTGAGTTTAGAAATTCAATGTTTGTGTTGAAGTTCAATGATGCCAGCGATATAAGTATATGAAGAAAAAAAAATTGTAGAAATACTATTACAGAGATAATAAAATGCATCCTATTTGATAGTGATATTTGAATATTTCATCAAAAGTTACAAATTAAATACAAAACATAGCAGGTGTTTTAGGGCGTTAAAAACTATAAACAATTCTTCATATCATTATATTTATTTATTTATATAAACACCAAACTATACAACTTTAAAGCTACAAATGATAAAGTTGTTGACCAAAAATAAATGAAAGAATTTGAAAAAAAAAATGCTCATGCTTAATTCACCAGTATAAGCATTACATTGAAACTTACATTTATCCAGCTGAATGGGTCATTGAATGTCACTTTAAACAAATTCTAGCTTTAAATTTGGCATGGCATATGTTGCATTTGAAATTCCTCTCATTTGAGTGTGATAATAAATGACTTCAAATTGTATTTAAGTTTAAATTTTGCAGTGCAAGTGTTACATTCAAATAGATAAATATCCAAATGTGTTTGTTTATGAATCTTTCAATCGCTTTTTTGTTTAAATTTTGATTTACAAGTGTCAAATTCAAATGGATAAATATCCGACTGTGTTAGTTTGTGAATCTTTCAATCGCCTTTCCGTTTAAATTTTGATTTGCATGTGTCGCATTCAAAAGGATAAATATCCGAGTATGTTGGTACGTGCCTTTGCCAATTACCTTTTTCTTTAAATTTTGCATTGCAAATGTCACATTTAAAAAGATAAATATCGGAGTGTGTTGAAATGTGCCTCTGCAAATTACCTTTTTGTTTAAATTTTGCATTGCAAGTGCCACATTCAAAAGCATAAATATCCGAGTGTGTTGATACGTGTCTTTGCAAATTATATGGTATGCTGGGTTCGGTAATTGCATCTGCG